AACTTAGAGAGAGATAAAATTAGGACATGCCTCCCCTTTGAAAGAGAAGAGAATTTTGAGTAGGGAGAGAGAATTGTTAAAGAGAGAGAAGAGAATATGTATCTCATTTTACGAGGAGAGACCTTCTTTTATAGATTTTATATGCCATAGATTTTACCTCAATTCGTAGGGTCAAATATCAACCGTCGATCTAAAGAGAGTTGTGGGGTGAGAGATTTGAGCCATCAATGTCTTTGATCCATCATCAAGATTCAAAAAAATGAGCTAGAGCCTTATTCTCTCTTTCTTAAATCTTATTCTCATCAAATAAGGAAAGCTTATATTTTAATATATCAAATCCTTAATTATTTGATCAATCAATCTTGATTCAAAGAATTAGTAAATATCTCAAATATTCAACCTTATCACATAAGTTGACTATACCTAAAAAGAAAAGCCAGCCAAGAGGATAAACGTTCTTCCCAAGAATGTTACGTGGTTGGGTGGATTCGTGTCACCCTTTTGGTGGCCATGTGTAGGCCCCACCTAATCCACATCCTTTTATGGAGGTTTCATATATTTTTAAAAAATATTTTATTTCATATTTAGAATTTTTAAGTCATATATTTTATTTAAAACATTGAAAAATTAATTTATCTTAATTTATAAATCCAAATAACAAAAAATAAAATATCAGAAGATTCACAAAAATTCAAATAAACATTCTAAAAATCACATAACATAAAATTAATTAATTTTGATGGGAATCGGATCCGTTAGATCTAGAAAATTATCAATACATGGGAGCACTCCACCTTCAACTGCGAATCACGATATGCTTAGACCCAGTAGTTCCCATGACCCACAGTCTACTGTAGGGGTTTATGATTGGACCACTAAAATCAACCAAAAGACTAGGGGATGCAATCCTAGTTTATGGATTTCAGGTTCTCCCCTAGAGACAAAAATCATGGTCCTCCAGACCATGATGTAACCATGACTCTATAGTGCATAGGGGTAATCTCTTGCACATGTACACACTTCACCCTCATTGGTGAATCTCAAAACGGCTATCTATGTACATGTCGTATGTTGATATAACGATGAGGTTTTAGCCCTGTCTCTAAAGGTTCTTTATCACACGCAAGGGCCACACAGTCCCTTGGGTCTCATCTGGGCATACTCCGACCTCTTCAAGGGATAACCCACTAAATCCTTCTCGGTAGATCCCTATGCCGTGGTATCTTGGGTTTTTCCAAACCTCGTCTGGCCTAGCTTGTCGAGCTTAATCAGAGTATCGGCAAATAACATTTGCTTAATATGGTCTACAAAAGGATTACACTCCCACTGAGTTATGTTCCACTATATTAAATGCTCATATAATCTTTCATAAGGCCTTTAAAGGCCACATAAACCCAATAAAAATGCGTAGCATTAATATTTGCCGTTGAAATTTGTGATATTGAATAAGTATAGCTTTGTAGTCAAGGATCCCGATCTTCTTGCCCAAAAAAAAAAAGAGCCAGATCCTTGGAAAAAGATTACTAGGACATAGTTTTCCAAAAAATTTGTCTATTTCTGCCATTTGGATCTAAAATCTAGAACATAAACTTTTTTTCTAACTACTAGTCCAAAACTCATTATAAAGGGATTTTTTTGTACATCACCAGTAGAGGGCTCTTCCGAGCTTGTTGCAATAAGTACAAATCTCAACCATGGTTTGAAGGAACCTTGGTCTCTGATCTGTCTCTAATTACTAATCTTTCTTCATCTCAATACCAATGAGTTCATATGCACAACCCCTGAGTTCACGGCTTTCTCTAGTTGGAAAAAGGGCTGAGGTTTTGGTGGTAGCATCCCCACACTTTAGTCACCACGTTGTGGTTTCTATTCTCACGGACACCATCTTATTAACACCTTAAACAAACTAACTTCTAAATTATACTTTAAAAAAATTAACTTCTAAATTATTTGAAAAAACAGGCAGCGTTTGTTTTTCTCACTGAATTACCCAAGAAAAAAGATTTTCTCTAGCTATGAAAGTTTGAGCAACAACGTAATCATAGGGCCCTTCCCATTTTTGTTGTGTTATGATGTTGTTCTCAAACACATTGACATTGGATTCAATAAGTTTCATGGGGTTTTGCTTGATGATCTTTTCATCACTAATTTCGATGCAAATTTCGTTAACAGTAATTAGTTTGAGGGGCCAACATTTCTACATTTATGAAATCCAAAGTCTAGATACTACTCAAACAAAAAAAAAAAATTTTTGTTTGCAAGAAATATCTTTCACATAAAGTATATTTTTTTGAAAATATTTTTACTGGGTTCGTGTAGTCGACTGTGTAGTCAAACCCCAAATAGTTGGAAAAATACTATGATAATGATAATTTTTATAGGGATCCAAAATGAGATTTTTTTTTTTTAGTGTAATTCCCTCACTTTCAAGTTGTGATCCTAGATGGATTTTCTCATTTGGTGGCCATGTTTATGGACACAGTATCTAAGCAGCCAGCCTGCATATTGTTGAAATGCGGGCTTGAAAATAAATATATTTTTTAAATATATTTTGATCCTAATTTTTAGAGAATATATAATATGTGTTGTTGAAATGCGGGCTTGAAAATAAATATATTTTTTAAATATATTTTGATCCTAATTTTTAGAGAATATATAATATGTAACATGGAGATCATGAATATGAAAAAAAAAAAATTGAAAATTAAAAATAATAATTATATTAAAACAACATTTAGACTGTTAGTTACACTTGTTTTTAGATGGACCACGTATTTGCATCCATCTTTAAGATTGATGCTTTACACCTTTGGACCGCATATTGTAGAAATACGATCCAGGCCACATGAAACAATTTTACCATGTTTATGCTCTTTCTGTACTCGTGAGATTTTCACCTTCTCACTCACAGAATTATCATTTGGATTGTATACAATGAGACCGTTTACCTTTTATACAAGATTGTCACAATTCCTTACAACTATTTGATGTGAAATTTGATAGCTTGGATGTGTCACAAAGTTCGAGAAAATTTTTCTTGAAGTTTGAGCTTGGTTAATGGAATAATTGCAGCCACCCAACTTTACATCCAATGGTCATGATTATTGTGACCACCTTGTATAAAAAGTAAATAATCTTATTCTATACCTTCCCGTTATCATTTGGGTTCTCATTCATCGGCGTTTGTAAGGGCAAATTAGTCATTTATCTATCTAAAGAGAATCCACGGGGTGACAAGGATGACAAATGACTTGAAACGGTAGCGGTCCAATATTTTTTTAACAAAAACATTAAACATGTTCTTATTTAAAAAAGTATATAAAGAGACTTACATTTATTTTTAGTATAAAGACATCACAATCACTATCATCTATCATATTGTAAATCAAGTGGTTATAGGTGTCCTCGACTAAATTCAAAGTTCAAAAAATATTATTAAACTTTGTAACACACTTCAAGCCATTCAATTTGAACCTAATGGCTTGGAGTGGTTACATAGTAAATGGTGTCATAGTATAATGCTTTTGTATTTTCCTTAGAAAGCCCTTATACTTTCTTGCCTATTAATCTTTGGTAGCATTCAAAGTAGTGTTTTAAAAGTCGGACGACTTTTAAGAAATTGGCTGACTAACTCGGACTCAGGCATTAGCCAAGCCTGAGTAGGTCCGATTTTATAGGTCACGTATTGTAGCATTACCTTATAGTGCCTTAATTAGTCGATTTATTGTACAGATCGACCAATTTATGCACTAATCGAAGATTTATTGACAAAATCAGTAGATTTTTGTGCCACTAATGGAGCCCAATCTCTCTCTCTATCAACCTCTCTCTCTATTTCTATCTCTATTGGGGTAGGAGCCTGCCCCAACCTCTCCCCCTCTCTCTCTTTGTTGGGCAGGGCCTACCCCAACCTCTCTCCCTCTGATGGAGGCTACATGCCCCAACCTCTATCTCTCTCTGTTAGGACATTATCTCCCTCTCTTGGGTTGGGACTACTTGCCCTAACCTCTCATTCTGTTAGGGCAAGGGCTTGTCCCAACTTCTCTCTTTTTCTATTGGAATAGAGGCATGCCTGAACCTCTCTCTCTCTCTATATTCTCTCTCGATTTCTCTTGCTGCTGCCCTACATACTCTATCGAGCTTCATGGTGATGTTTACTCTTGTCAACCTTGATAACAAAATTCAAAACAATCTTAAACCTCATAGTCGATCTTATTACTTTTGAACAATACTTTTTACTATCGTGTACTCAAAATTATCAGAATAGAAAATAAATATCAATGTTTCTTCGTTTTGCTCATCATATGTAATCTCCTTCAATTAATATTGCTTCAGGGGCCAAAATATTTTGTCCCAAACCCAATTATGTCCATAATAGTTTTTTGTTTTGCTATTTTTTGTGACAATATAAAAAAACAATATATATAAAATTTAAACATTTTTTTTACAATTTTCTTATATAACTTTTATGGGATTCTTTACCCCAACTTTTTTCAGTATAAAATTCAACACTAATCAACCGACTAAGTTAAAGTCGGTCCAATCAATCAGCTCTGGCCATGACCGACTAGTTGGTGCGACTTGTTCTTTCCAATGAACATTGACCAATCTTGTCTTTATAGTGCCCTACGTTGGGGGCAATCACATAGGAACCTTGCAAAACTTTAAAATTTTAGAAGTATCTCATGCAACTCTAGAATACCTCTTGATTCTGTTAATAGAAGACTCAAACCCAAACCCCCCAAACAAAAAATAAATTAACGGTTAGAATTCACAAAGAACCTATGCTGAAATTTAAAACTTCTACATGAATCTCCTCTTACATGATCAACCAACATGAAGCAACAACAGCTAGTTGTTCAAATCAGGGTATTTACCATAGATTCTTATGGCCCAGCTGTTAGAAGAAAGTAGTGCAAAGTGGTGCACTTCATGAACACTGCATCAAACTCATGCACTCTAAAACAACTTGGTAGAAGAGGGAAAATGAACACGAACTAGAGGTGCAAGACAGTTTTCTTTTTCTCAAAAATCTACCAGTTGAACTGGCTTGAGTTACAAATTCTCTCAAATTCACTTCATATATATCCCCACACAAACTTATTACAAAAAATTGCTATTAATAAATGAATCATTCAATATAACGACTGCTAGAAGACCCCAATATCCAGCAGCAAAAATGAATCTCTCCCATGTATAGTTTTTTGATCCTGGAGTTGCAACCTTGGATGGAGAAAAGAGGAGATATAAACAGCATATATGAGTTCATCCTCTCTGATCCATCCAAATAAGAATGTGAGGAATCAAAGAGAAATGTAATCTCAAAACTTGAAAGGGAAGGAACATCCCTTCCTCTCCTTTGAATAAGTTTAAAAGAGACAAGCGATCTCCTTCAGTGTGCAAAGCAATGCTGAAGCAAAGGATGAGAATAATTAACATATCGTTCCCACAAGGGCTTATACCTACTGATACCCAACTTCAACCAAGGTTTCATATTTCCATTATAGTGCACCACGGCTGCACTATCTATCAACCTATCATCTATATTTGAATCATAACCCAACCCCAGAGCATGCCACCTTCTATCAAGGGGCTCTGTGAGCCCATAGAAAGTAAGAAGGCCTGGGGGGAGAGTACCCAACTTCCATAATGTCCTATATCTATTTTTTTCTTGCCAATAATGATACCTAGCAGTCACATTAGCCTTCCTCCAAGATATAAGGTCAAAAGCATTCATACCAAAAGCCCAACCACAAGCATCAGGATCAAACTTCGATCTTATAATTGGGTCTGAGAAATTAAGGTACTTGTGATATCTATGAAACGATTCTAAGCATGTCTCCACTGCCCCATTCACATTCCCATGAAGGTCTAGAGAGAAGAGAGGTGTAAGATCCTTTTGTACCACTACATCATCGTCAAGGAAGACCACCTTCTCTAGAGCTGGGTATATGTTGGGTATGTAGAATCTAAGGTGATTCAGCATTGATAGGTACTTCGGGTTCCTAAATTTGGACTCAACTCTCGAGTCTTGGGAGTTTCCACCTCCTTTGAAATAGTAGGCCTGTGTTTCAGCATCTTCAAGCTGCTTCAAGACTGGGGCATACGAGGAGTTCAGCCAAGAAAAGTCTTCTATGTTTTGAACCTCAACTGTTGCCCCCTTGTAAGAGTTCATAGAGAACCAGGCTTGCATGGCTGGGAAGTTGATAGCATCGGTGACTACATGGAAAACAAGCTGTTTTGGGTGGTCGGCATTTGAGACAGTAGAATTAACCACTACAGAGGTGGCTAGGGTATTGTCTGAGAATATGCAGAAATGGTAAAGATTATTGTCTAAAGCCCTAGGGGAGTTCCTTTGTCCTTCCATGATTTCTTTGAGAGAGGGGTTTTGAAGCCATTTGATGGTTAACCTTATGCTTAGGCAGTACAGGTTCTTGGGCATTGATTCAGCTGCCAATTGTCCAAAGGTTGTGCTTTGTATGGTGGCCGCATTGCCTCTCTCTTCTAGAGCTTGGATATGGGCTTTGAGTTTCATGATCATGGCTGCGCTGTCATAATGGGCATCTTTTGCTTTGAAGATGAGTAATGAGAGTTTCCGGATGATGGGTTCTGCTTCTTCCAATGTGATGGCCCTGCCTCTTGTGGCTGCTCTAGAGAGCAGCAGTTGGCAGGCTCTTATCTGTGAGCTTAATTCCCATGCAAGCTGAAGATTGTTTTGTTCCTTGGCGATAACCACATAAGCTTTAGCGAGGGTCATTTGGTCCCCTAGTTGCCTAGCAAAGGATGTGGCACTCAAGAGCTCTTCGGTGAAATTGAAACCCTCGGAGGAAGCCTGCTGTATCTCTTCATTAATCTGAATAACAAATAGTACCATTAGTTGAATTAAGCCCTAAAGACAAGGTTTTGAATTGTATAAGAGACCAAAGATGCAACAAACCCAACAATTTCTTTGTCTAATTAATTACTTTTCCAATAGCACTTGGGAACCCCAATGATGCACAACGATGACTCTAAGCTGCAGAAGTATTGAATAATGCAATATTTATAGAAGGGCCAAATAAATTATTCACTGGTGCCAACTAACTACAAATCAACCACATTGCTAGATGACACCTCTTAACAACTAGTCATAAGGTCCATTTGATATCACAAACCATACCACAACCGGTAAAACCTCTAGCCTAAAAAAGACAAGAAAATAGAGAACAAAAAAAAAAAAGGAAAGAAGGAAAAGAGAAACAAACAGAAAGACAAAAGAGGATGAGAAGAAAAATGGATATCAGCTTAATCTCCATGTTATCAATAGAAATGCAATCACACGATGGAGATTTCCAGCTTCTGGAGGCAGCAAGTTTTAGAGTTGTGCAAGGTAAATGAAATACAAGCAATAAACTAGAAAATGACAGAAAAAAGCAGCTTATCGCAACTTTGAAACATCACGAGACAATGAATAATAAAAAAATGAGGGGGCTCAATAAAATCGAGTACAAATAAAAAGCACAAAGCTTCGATGACTTTACTCCCATCATAAAAGTCAAGCTACTCTCTTAGATGGTGTTGAATATATAGAATCTCATCATAATAAGTACTGGACATTTTCTGCAGATCTCTCATCCCTTAATCAGTGATATAAATACATAAATCTGATTGATTCCATAGAGGAGAAGGCTCATGCAGTAAAAGTGCATCTCTCTCTCTCTCTCTCNTCTCTCTCTCTCTCTCTCTCTCTACTATATACTATTATATATATATATATATATATATATATATATATATATATATATATATA